CCTGTGCACGCGAGTGCCCGCGTCCTGCGCGCTGGCCCGCCGGCCTCCCAGGCGGGGCCTTGCGTGGGCGAGGGAGGGACGGCTGCTTTGCCCGGTGGGGCGGAGGAGGCGTTCACTCCAGGTGCGTGCGTCCGTGCAGCTGCCCGCAGCAGCGTCCTCCCCGCTTCCTTTCTTTGGAATGGAAGTGGGCCACTGGCCACCGCGCAGGCTCGCCGCTGCGCGCGTTCTAGGCAGCGGTAAAGGCGGGGGGTGGTGCGGAGGCGCGGATAATCCGAATTTCCCGCCAGCGTGGGTGCAGCTGGCGCCCGTGGCCCACAGGACCGGGGCCCCTGGTGTTTCAGTCAGAGGGGTGCGAGCCTACCGCCTTTCAGCTGAAGTCTAACAAGCAGACGCTTAGCTCACTGCGTTTGTTTTCCTGGAAACTTAGAAAGTTGGAAGAGTGCACACGTCCGTAGGTCAGCCAGATCCTTGATCCGCGCTGGACAGCATTCCTGTGTGGGGTTTAGCAGCCAAAGGCTGGCGCTCGGAGCGGGGGAACAGTGTGTGCTGTGCGTGGCGGGACGTCCCGGGGCGGGGGTCAGATCTGCGGGGTGGGCACGTCTTGGCTGGGTCGCTGCAATGTAAGGTCTAGCGGGATGTGTCTGGGTCAGCGTCTGCCTCGCAGCGGCTCCTGGGAGCCCAGATGCCTGTGTCTTCCCGGGGCAGGGCTGAGGATTTCCAGAACACATTGCTGGAGACCTTCGGCAGAGAGACCCTTGCGAGGTCGGGCCCGCCGGCCATGGGTCACGTGGGGAGAGCGCGCGTCCCCTCCTGGCTTTGCAGGGCTGTGTCCTTAGGCCCTAGGCCTCCACCCCAGCGTAATTGCTGCGACTCCGTCCTGGAGTCCTGTAGAACCAGCAGCCTTGCTGCCTGCTGCCGCCCCTCCAGAGCCCGGCCCCTGACGGGTTTAAGACGATTTGGATTCCTGCCCTGAACCTGCTCACTCAGCCCCTCCCCGCGCCGTGGGAGGAAGGGTATCAGGTGAAGACCAAGCCGTCTGACCCCACAGCCTCCTTCACAGTAGGGGTGTTCCGTCCAGATGTGCTGTCGGGATCCGCGGGATGGCTGAGCCCGCGGCACAGGGCGCTGCAGTGTCCTCAGAGGCGTCTGGAGGGCTGGAGGGCACGGTGCCGCCTTCTCCCGGCTGCAGTAAAGGTGTCTGTGAGGAATAAAAGGTCGCAGTATTCCTCCCCGGCCTACACACGGGGCCATTCATGCGGAGCACAGATATCAATTGAGGCCGCTTGGCAGGGCCCACAGAGGCCAAAGGAGACAGCGCCGGGGGTCCTCCCGTGGGGAGGTGCAGGCTGGCACAGCGGAGCGGGTGTGGGCGCAGAGCCCCCGCTGGCAGCCCCGGAGGGAGGCATTTGTCAACCTCTTGGGTGCCAGCTCTTAGCACAGTGCGGGGCGTGAGCCCAGGGTGCCCTGTACCTCGCCCCTGGGCTGCAGAGGGAAGAGTGTCGCTCTTCACGTCTCCATCTGCGGAGTGGAGATGATGGGGTGGCACAGAGGTGCCCTGCTCAGGTCTGTCTTGGTGGGGGGCAGTACTGTTATCTTGCTTTTGTAGGGCACTGGATACATGACGTTGTTGCCCCAAAGGCTGCGTTGTTGCCCCCAAAGGCTGCACTCTTTCTTTCTCTGTTTTTTTGAGACAGGATCTCTCTACGTAGCCCAGGCTGGCCTGGAGCTCACAGCGATCCTCCTGCCTCAGCCTCCCAGATGCTGGGATTACAAGTGCGTACCACCACACCCAGTTTTTTTTTTTTTTTTTTTTTTTTTAAAAAGGACTCTCTGAAGGGAGAGCAACTGGAAATAAAAACAAAGTTAAGAAGGACTGTGTGTGGCAGCAGCTCCCCATGATGAATGCAACCATTATATGGAGCACACGTATGGGAGTAAACATGAAAGCTGAACACCCGGGCTTCGTAGGAGGAAAAGGCAACCTCGGGCAATACTGAGACCCAGACAAGGAGCCAGCCCTAAGCGAGTGTCGGGCCTCACAGTGCAGCGCTGTGTGGTGCTGGCCCTGCGGTCGGGCTGCAGAGGCTGGGTCAACTCGGAAAACACGCCGGGTTCCGGCTCCACCCATCCAGGGCAAAGGGTTTCGTTGGTGTGGGGCGGAGCCGCGGTAGACACTGTGCCCGAGGTGTTTGTGTGCAGGGGCTCGGCGGGCGCTCCGTGGGTTACTGTAGCACTGGTGCGAGCCGGGCGGGGAGGGATCCTTTCCCATCCGGGGACCTCGCGCCTGGCCGGGCTGGCCCGAGGGTAGCGCGGTGTGCGGGGGAGAGCCAAAGCACGAGCTGAGCTGCTCCCGTGTGCGACAGTGTGGTGTGTCACTGTGAACACACGGGCATATGTGATGAAGCGTGAAGATGCAGAACGACTTGCAGGCTGGGCCTAGAATCGGTCACCACAGGAAGCTACCGGGCTACCGCACGCCCCTCATGGGGGTGGACGCTGCAGAGCCTTGCGGTGGGAGCAGCACTCCAGGGGCTCTTGGGCTGCTGAAGACCTCAGCTGTGACGTCCAGCTCCGCTTGCGCTTGTGTATGTGTTTAGAAGGCCGTGGCTTACAGTTGTGAGCTGAGTGTGCGCTTGCCTTGTGAGAGAGAGAGATTGTAATTAGATCTCGGGAAATTTGGTCTGTTGAAAATGAGAATTCATGGTGTTCATCCAAAACCCGGTATTAGTTTCACAGGACCCCAGGAGCACATTTGAATTGAAACCCA